TCAAGGTGTGTAGGCCGCTGGGAAGTTGCACCGCTTCCAAGCTCTGGTCGAAATAGTTGGTGAAGGTCAAGGTCTGTAGGCCGATAGGAAGACGCACCTCTTCCAATGTCTGGTTGAACTTGTCGCCGAAGGTCAAGGTCTGTAGGCTGCTGGGAAGCTGCACCCCTTCCAAGGTCTGGTTGAAAAAGTGGCCGAAGGTCAAGGTCTGTAGACTGCTGGGAAGCTGCACCGCTTGCAAACTCTGGTTGAAGTTCATGCCAAAGGTCAAGGTCTGTAGGCCGCTGGGAAGCTGCACTCCTTCCAACGTCTGGTTGAAACAATGGCCGAAGGTCAAGGTCTGCAAGCCGCGGGGAAGCGGCACCCCTTCCAATTTGTGGTTGAAATCAGTGCCGAAAGTCAAGGTCTGTAAGCCGCTGGGAAGCTGCACCCCTTCCAAGCTCTGGTTGAAATCAGTGCCGAAAGTCAAAGTCTGTAAGCCGCTGGGAAGCTGCACCCCTTCCAAGCTCTGGTTGAAGCTGTTGCCGAAGGTCAAGGCGTGTAGGCCGCTGGGAAGTTGCACCCCTTCCAAACTCGTGTTGCCAAGGGTCAAGGTCTGTAGGCCACTGGGAAGCTGCACCCCTTGCAAGCTCTGCTTGAAGCGCTGGTTGAAACAGTCGGCGAAGGTCAAGGTCTGTAGGCCGCTGGGAAGCTGCAGCCCTTCCAAGCTCTGCTTGAAGTTGCTGCCGAAGGCCAAGGTCTGTAGGCTGCTGGGAAGCCGCACCCCTTCCAAACTCTGGTTGAAGCTTGCTCCGAAGGTCAAGGTCTGCAGGCCGCTGGGAAGCTGCACCCCTTCCAAGCTCTGGTCGAAAGCATTGCCGAAAGCTACTGTCTGTAGGCTGCTGGGAAGCTGCACCCCTTTCAAGCTGCAGTTGAAATTCATGCCGAATGTCAAGGTCTGCAGGTCGCTGGGAAGCTGCACCCCTTGCAAGCTCTCGTTGAAAAAGTTGCCGAAGGTCAAGGCAACAACGGCATCCAAGGCATCGGTGCAATCACTCAACTCTGCTCTTGCCAACGCTCGCTCTACGCTCTGTGCTGCACGGCCTGCGCCAAGTTTCCGAACCACATACGTGAGCTCTTGGTTTTGAGTTTGTTGCAGCAGTGGCTGGTGCAGGTCAAGCAGGCGGTCACCTGAAGTCAGCACGAGTGACGTTGCGGAAAGGCCAACACTTCCTGCGACACGTCTCCGCACATCCAGCCCGGTTTCCGCATCGTCCACGCAGAGCTCAAACGTCGACCCGGCAACACTGTGTATGGTCAACGGCCGCATGCTGGCGCCACCCACGTCTACGTGCCAGACGACGCGACAAGACTCGACATGGCGCAGAAATGAGTGGACATTTCAGATAATAACTTAATACCAATACAAAGAATTAGGGAATTTGGTATGTACCTCATGTCCCCAACTCTAACCCTTCAAGGGCTTCTACAGGGAAACCAATTCCCTAACTGGGCTCCTTGCGTGTAGCGTGACTTGACAAAAGAAAACCTGATTCACACAGGGGGTGTTTTCCAAGCAAAAGAGATATTGATATTGAATACATAATTACTGAGAAGTGGTACAGCATCTGATCTGGGGCTTATGGGGCTTCGGCTTTAGGCCTACAGACCTGCTTCTGCACTGTCTCAGCAAATCCTAAACCCTTAAACCCGAAACCCCGAGCCCAAACCCCGCCCGACTTGGGTTTTATTGGGTGATACTAGGAGGAACCCCCAACGGGGACCCTTCATCCTACTACTTGTATCCCCAGACCCTAAACCCTAAACCCTAAACTGTAAACCCTAAACCCTAAACCGTAAACCCAAAAAACCTCAACCCTAAATCACCCTAAACTCTAAACCCTAAACCCTAAACCCTAAACCCAAAACCCTAAACCCTAAACCCTAAACCCTAGCCCTAAACCCGAAACCCATCGGACTTTCAGGCTCATCGAATCGGACTGACCCTCGTACACCCAAAGAAACTCTGCCCAGGGGGTTCAGGGTTCAGGGTTTAGGGTTTAGGGTTTAGGGTTTAGGGTTTAGGCTTTAGGCTTTAGGGTTTAGGCTTTAGGGTTTAGGGTTTAGGGTTTAGGGAAAATGCGGCCCCAAACTGTCTGTTCTTTGGAGGTTGAGGATTTGGATTTAGGGCTTAGGGCTTGGGGCTTGGGGCTTGGGGCTTGGGGCTTGGGGCTTGGGGCTTGGGGCTTGGGGCTTGGGGCTTGGGGCTTGGGGCTTGGGGTTTGGGGTTTGGGGTTTGGGGTTTAGGGTTTAGGGTTTGGGGTTGAGGGGGTTTATGACCTCCTGGCTTGCAAGGTTGGGATTACAGGTGCATCCAACGCCCACCCAAAGCCCCGGCCCTCTGTCCCAAAGGAAGAAACTCCTAAATCCTAAGCCCCTTTAAGGTCTGGGTGGTTCTTAGTAGGGAATGAGGGGATGAGGTACCCTATATATATATATATATATACATTATATCCTTAAGGGATTATCTGGGGCCCCAAAATCCCTCAGTCCGTACTGAGAAACAGGGGGATGTTTTGGGGTTCAGGTACGGATGTTCTGCATATACTGTCCGTAATGGGGATTTTAGTACCCCTTGTCAGAATACCTATTAGTAAGGAGTGTTAGTATAAGGGGGAACATCACAAGTTTTTGGGGTTTAGGGCCAAAACCCAAACCAAACATCTAAACCCGACGCCCCTCTACACCCTGTGCAATCCCTGGCCGAATGCATACCCGAAACCCTAAACCCTAAACTTGCCTCCAGGCCCTCGTTCGCAGGGAGGGACCGCGCTTCATCCTCGGCAGGACCCCCAACGCCCCCCCGAGCCCCAAACCCAAAAAACAAACAGAGCACGAAGCCTCCCAAAAACCAAAGCCGAGCAGAGGAACCAAACCCCAAACCCCAACCCCCAACACCAAATCACCAAACCCCAAACCCCAAACCTTCAGCGCTACGCAACCGGCGTGGGGTTAAAGGTTTGAGGGTTTGAGGGCTGAGGGTTTATGGTTAGGGCTGTAGGGTTTTAGGGCTTTCAGGTTTGAGGTCTTTGAGGACTTTGAGGGTTTTGGGGCGTATTGGGGCGGGTTTTGGTGGTCGGACCTCTAGTCCTATACTCTCCCGGACGCATCCTCGATTCTGGGAAGTCTGCCGCCGAAGCTCTCTCTGCACCAGGCCTGCCGCAAACCCTAAACCCTAAACCCTAACCCTAAACCCTAAACCCTAAACCCTCAACCCTAAACCTTGGGGCGACTCGACGGCTCACACTCATTGGGTTCAAGGGGCTCAGGGCTTAGGGTTGAAGGGTTGCGATGTTCCCCCATGGGGTTTAGGGTCTAGGGTCTAGGGTCTAGGGTCTAGGGTTTAGGGTTTAGGGTTTAGGGTTTATAGGGTTTAGGGTTTAGGGTTTATAGGGTTTAGGGTATAGGGTATAGGGTTTAGGGTTTAGGGTTTAGGGTTTAGGGTTTAGGGTTTAGGGTTTAGGGTTTAGGGTTTAGGGTTTAGGGTTTAGGGTTTAGGGTCTAGGGTCTAGGGTCTAGGGTCTAGGGTCTAGGGTCTAGGGTCTAGGGTTTAGTTAGAATCCTGAATAGGGACTATAATGCGGGGTACTAAATTCTCGATTAAAGCCAAGTTAAGGGCTTCGGCACACCCCGCAACCTTCGCCAAGAGACCCAGCAAAACACACAAAAGTCCCAGGTTAAGGGTTTAGGGTTTAGGGTTTAGGGTTTAAAGTGTAGGGTTTAGGGTTTAGGGTTTAGGGTTTAAGGGTTTAGGGTTTAGGGTTTAGGGTATAGGGTTTAGGGTTTAGGGTTTAGGGTTTAGGGTTTAGGGTTTAGGGTTTAGGGTTTAGGGTTTAGGGTTTGGGGTTTGGGGTTTGGGGTTTAGGGGTTCAGGGTTTAGGGTTGAGGGTTTAGAGTTTAGCGTTTACGGTTTAGGGCTTCTAAACCAACTCCCGCAACACTCAGCCCCCCAAATCTCAATGCGTAAGCATCACATCCCTACACCCACAACATCAAGAGACTCTGCCTCGGACCCCTAAGCTGGTACCCTTGAATTTGGGCAGCCTTTCTTGAAGATCCCCTAAGGGAATAGAAGGGCCAGACTAGGAGCGTAGTGTGGGAAGCCTTTAGGGTTTAGGGTTTAGGGTTTAGTGTTTAGGGTTTAGGGTTTAGGGTTTAGGGTTTAGGGTTTAGGGTTTAGGGTTTAGGGTTTAGGGTTTAGGGTTTAGGGTTTAGGGTTATTTCGGGTTTAGGGTTTAGGGTTTAGGGCTTCGGGTTTAGGGTTTAGGGTTTAGGGTCCACCTTCAGCCCTCAACCCTCGAACTCTTAAACCCTCAACCCGAAACCCCTTCAGCCCCAAAGCAACCCAAGGCAGGCTCAATTCGCGGATATGTGCTTCAGAGCATGAAGGGTTGGGGGCTTAAGGGTTTAGGGTTTAGGGTTTAGGGTTTAGGGTTTAGGGTTGAGGGTATCTTCCCGGAGATTTCCCATCATGCCCTCCAGACTCCGTCTGCTGCTCGAGTTCTACCAGACTTGCCACACTCCTCCCCTTCGTTTTTTCTTAACTGAAGGACAGTGACAGGCGGGTGGTTTCTGTTAAGCCTCTTTAACGAAGTCTGGGGTTCATAGGGGGCTTACGAAAACAGGGGACCCCTAGTGTAGACCTTATAGACCCCCAATATCCTGTAAGACCCTTATGCGAGAAACAAATTGACAAAACCCCAGCGCTTAAAGCTCCCTTGAAAAAACTGAGTTGTACTTTGAACCATGTGAAAAGTACTTTTGAATCGGTTCCCTTGTTAGGAAAAGACGGGAATTTAAAACTCACCCCGCGCCTACGCCCTAACCCTAAACCCTAAACCCTAAACCCTAAACCCTAAACCCTAAACCCTAAACCCTAAACCCTAAACCCTAAACCCTAAACCCTAAACCCTAAACCCTAAACCCTAAACCCCCAGAACCCTGGGTCCCCTGGGTCCCCTGGCCAGAGCCCCGCCGGTGTGCGTTGGCAGCGGGCCCAGGGGCGCCGCCGGCGCCCCGGCGGGCGAAGACGCCTCGGCATCTGACTCGGCTTTAGGGTTTGGGGTTTAGGGTTTAGGGTTTAGGGTTTAGGGTTTAGAGTTCAGGGTTTAGGGTTTAGGGTTTAGGGTTTAGGGTTTGAGGGTTTGAGGGTTTGAGGGTTTGAGGGGTTGAGGGGTTTGGGGTTTAGGGTTTAGGGTTTAGGGTTTAGGGTTTAGGGTTTAGGGTTTAGGGTACTGGGTACTGGGCATTTTAGGATTTGCGGTATTCAGGGTTTAGGGTTGGTTTAGGGTTTATGGGGCAATTTGAAGGGGCTTGAGGGTTCAAGGTTTCATATAGGGGTTTGGGGGTTTCAAGGTTTGAAGGGTTTTAAGAGGGTTTAGGGGCTTAAGAGCTTGGGTCTTCAGGGTTAAGGGATTAAGGGCGGCTTGAGAGGTTTAAGGTTTGACGGTTTAAGGTTTAAGGTTTAAGAGCTTGAAAACCAGTCCTCTGTAACATAAGCTCTAAACGTCTCGCTCGCCTCCGGTGTAGTAGACAGGAGACCGGGGAATCCAGAGCACCTGTGTCTCCAGCATCTGGATCAATGCTTGACTACAAATTCTAAACCCTAAACCCTAAACCCTAAACCCTAAACCCTAAACCCTAAACCCTAAACCCTAAACCTAAGAACCCGAAGAGCATGGCGTGAGGGAGCGGAGGTTAGCTCGAGGTGCAGCTCCAGCAGCCCGACATAGTCTGCCTCCTGCATGGCATCGTGGTGTTGCTTCCGCCCCTTCGGTCATCCAAGCTCAGCTGCATGAACCTGCACAAGTCAACCGTGTAGGCCCCAGCTGGCCACTTTCCGGACGGAGCTCTCCCGGTTGGCAAGCTCTGTGCAACTGTCGCAGGCCTAAAACCTAAACCCTAAACCCTAAACCCTAAACCCTAAACCCTAACCCTTTCCTTTTGAGGAGGCCTTGCTCCCTTGACTTTGCACTGACTGGCTTGATCCACGGGGCAGGTTCTTCTGGAGGTGGCAAGCATGTGGCAAGTCCGTGCCGCTGCACTCTATCACTTTAGGGTTTAGGGTTTAGGGTTTAGGGTTTAGGGTTTAGGGTTTAGGGTTTAGGGTTTAGGGTTTAGGGTTTAGGGTTTAGGGTTTAGGGTTTAGGGTTTAGGGCTTAGGGTTGAAAAGCCGAATGTCGTAACGCTTCATGAACCTATCTAACTCTCGAAACCCCCTATTAGGTGCTAAACCCTGAATCCCAAACCCTAGGCCCTCAGCCCCAAAAGCCGAAGCCCCCGTGCATCCCTAAATCTGAACCTTCCTTCCTTCCACGGCATGGAGGTCATAGTCCCTAAACCCTAAAACCCTAAACCCTAAACCCTAAACCCTAAACACCCCTAAACCCCTTAAGCCCCCAAGCACAACGCCTCAGGCCAACAAGAAAAAAGCTAACTTTGGGTTGCAAGGGATCTAGGTTTGGGGCTTAGGGCTTAGAGTTTAGGGTTTAGGTTCTAGGGCTTAGGGTTTAGGGGCCAAAGTTCAAGCTCATAGTCAAGAATCTAGAACAACCCTTAGCTGTAACAAGCCCTACAATTAAGGGTTGTTGTATGGGCCCTTGCCTCCGTAAAATAGGGTTGAAAGAGTCTATAGGGCTCATAGGGTTTATGGAGTTTAGAGGGCTTCTAGGGTTTCTAGGGTTTATGTGTCCTACGGGTAGTTAGACGGGCTCTTCATATGGTCTCTTGCAGCCCTTGGGTTGCAGAGGGTATATAAGGGATCCCCTTTTAAGCGCCAAAGCAGCAAGTTACCCTGAGCCCTAAACACCCCGAAGCCCAAACCCTAAACCCTAAACCCTAAACCCTAAACCCCGAAGCCCAGAACCCTCAGCCCTGGACCTCTACTAAAGCCCCAGAGCCACAAAGCCTAAACCCCGAAACCCAAAACCTCTAGAGCCCTTAAACGCCCCAAACCCCCTAAACCCTACGTAACCCCTAACCCCTAACCCCTAAACCCTAAATCCTAAACCCTAAACCCTAAGCCCTAAGCCCTAAGCCCCAAGCCCAAGCCCCAAGCCCTAAACCCTAAACCCTAAACCCTAAACCCTAAACCCTAAACCCTAAACCCTACCCTAGACCCCTTAATCCCCCCAAAAGCACAACTCCAGCGGCTCACCCGCAGATTCGGCAGCGGTCAGCTCCCGCTCCAGCCAGGTGCCCTTGGTTTCTGCGGGGATTTCGTAGGCTTAGGGTTTAGGGTTTAGGGTTTAAGGTTTAGGGTTTAGGGGTTAGGGTTTAGGGTTTAGGGTTTGGGGTTTAGGGTTTAGGGTTCAGGGTTTGGGGTTTAGGGGTTTTTTTGGATCCCTAAGCCCCTAAGTCGCCGAACGCCCGCAATCTGCAACCCTAAACCCCAAACCCCAAACCCCAAACCCTAAACCCTAAACCCTAAACCCTAAACCCTAAACCCTAAACCCTAAGCACCTCGTCCTCTCCCTTCGCCAGGGCTTCCGCCAGGTCGGCCGCCTTTGCTCGGGTTCCGGGTTCAGGGTTCAGGTTTGAGGGTGTCGCAAGTTGATCGACTGCCTTAAGCTGGGGTCGGCGACGTTCAAGCAGCTCTCGCGGGTTGAGGACATGATAGGGTTCAGGGTTCAGGGTTCAGGGTTTAGGTTTTACGGCTTAGGGTTTAGGGTTTACTTAGAGCTTAGGGCTTAGGGATTAGGCTTTAAGGCTCAGGGTTTGGGGCTTCAGGGCTTCCTTCTGAAGTGAATGCCTTGCGTTTCGTAAGAGAGAGGTTCCAGGGGGTGTGTAATTCAAGGTGTTGTTAGAGCTGTGGTCTAAACCCTAAACCCTAAACCCTAAACCCTAAACCCTAAACCCTAAACCCTAAACCCTAAACCCTAAACACTAAACCTATCTATCAAGAAAGAGGGGGAAACTCCTGTTCTTCCCCCACCCTAAATCCCGAAGCCCTGAAACCCTAAGCCCCAAGCCCTAGACCCTCCACCCTAAACCCTAAACCTTAAACCCTAAAACCCAACACCCTAAAGGCCCTGAACCCAAAACCCCTGAACCCAAAAACCCTGAACCCTAAACCCTAAACCCCGAACCCTAAACCCGAAACCCTACACCCTGTTATATAAAGCCCATACCCCAAACCACAAACCCTAAACCCCAAACCCTAAACCCTGGGCCCTAAACCCTAAACCCTAATTAAACCCTAATTAAACCCTAATGAAACCCTAAACCCCAAACCCTAAACCCTAAACCCTAAATTCCCACCCAGGCCTGCTTAGGCCGTACCCACCCTTTTCAGGGTGCCTGGACCCAGCACTGCACCCGACAGCGATTAACACCATCGCTTGGAGTTACTATGCAAGCCTAAAGAGTTGTGTTGAGCGTGAGCTGCACCTCCAGTGCCCCCCTTCTCCGATTAAGAAACCCTCTGCAGGTGGTGCCTGGGCCCCTGGGCCCCCCTCCGGAGCCCCTGGTGCCGGGCCCCTGGCGGAGCGTGTTGAGGGACAGAGGGGCCACAAGGCAGGTCAGCCTGAGCGATTGCTTTTCCTGACCCCCCCTTGGCCCCCCCCCTCCCCCCCTCACCCCCCTCCCCCCCCCTCGCCCCCCTCCCCCCCTCCCCCCCCTCCCCCCCCTCCCCGCCACTTTCATCATAATCAAATCTGATGCCTTGCACATGGTTTTCACGGGTGGCTCTGTCCACCGCTTCAAATGCCTCTAAAATGTTGGGATCTAAGATCATTCCGACAAGCGCTCCGAGGACAGGCTTGTCACATGGCTCCAAGATTTCCTGAAGTGCCATACGGTCCCTTGATGGTAGTCGATGCCCTCAATGCTGAAAAAGCCCGGCATGACCTTCAGCAGAGCCTGTATGACTTTGGCGTTGCCCTAGTTTGTGAGCTTGGCCACGGCCCGGTACACTGCGGTACCGCCGCTCATGCCCAGCAGGCGGTCTATCAAGTCACTGTCCCCAACCTTGCCCAGCTCAACCAGACCATCCACGACAGGCATGTGCTGCCGCTCCTCCCAATGTTCACGCCCGGTGCCCCCCTCCCCCCCCTCCCCCCCCGTCCCGGAGGTAAGGGCCTTCTGCCCCCGTCTGTTTTCTGGGTCACCCTGACCCGTTCAAAGGATGAGGGTAGAAGTGTCCTACCCAACCGTTCAAAGGATGGGGGTGGGAAGTGGGAATTTAGGGCGTTAGCCCGAAACCCTAAAAGGAGAAAAGTTGGGTGGATGCCTGCGTAAGCAGGGGGTGGGAAAAATAAAACAACCCAACCTTTCTGGTTGTGGTGGCTCCAACTTCAATATACGCCGCCGCGACATATGCCGCCCCCTCACACCCCCTGGGTGTGTTGGGGCGCCATCTTCGCATGACATCTACTGCCGCGGCGCAGCGAGAAGCCCCAAACCCTAAACCCTAAACCCCAAACCCCAAACCCTAAACCCTGAACCCTAAACCCCAAACCCCAAACCCTAAACCCCAAACCCCAAACCCTAAACCCTCTCTTACTATGTATATTTAAACCCTAATGACCTTCGTCGGCATGTTGTTTTTTTCTGGGCCCTAGGGTTTAGGGCCCAGAGTTTTTTTTCAAGGTTTTTCAGAGTTTTTCAGTTTTTCAAGGTTTCTCAAGGTTTTTCAGGGTGTTTCAGGGTTTTTAACCCTCAAGAGGGTTTAGGGCTGTAGGGTTTGGGGCATAGGGTTTGGGGCATAGGGTTTAGGGCCCAGAGTTTTTTTTCAAGGTTTTTCAGAGTTTTTCAGTGTTTTTCAAGGTTTTTCAATGTTTTTCAGGGTGTTTCAGGGTTTTTAACCCTCAATTCTGATTGTGGGCCGCCCCCGCGACCTTTTCACAGCCTAGTTTTGGTCAAGGGGGGGTCGTATTTTTCTATTTTAAAGGCAAAATAGTCTTCGGAGACCCCCCCTTGCCTCAAACTCCGACCCCCCCTTGAGAGGGAACGTTTGCTTCCAAAAACACCCCAAATGAGGGGGACCCCAGGATCGGCCTGGGCCACAAGTAAAAATGCGATTTTTTAGTACTGAAATCGACGGTTCTGGGTGGCCTCTTGTTTCTGGATTTTTGACCAAACCGAGCCTTTACCGGTTTCAGAATTTCAAGTTTTTCAAGGTTTTTCGAAGTTTTTCAAGGTTTTTCAAGGCTTTTCAGAATTTTTCAATGTTTTTCGATGTTTTTTAATGTTTTTCAGGCTGTAGGGTTTGGGGCATAGGGTTTAGGGCTGTAGGGTTTGGGGCATAGGGTAGAGCTGTAGGGTTTGGGGCATGGGGCATAGGGTTTAGGGTTGTATGGTTTGGGGCATAGGGTTTAGGGCTCTTAGGGTTTGGGGCATAGGGTTTAGGGCCCAGAGTTTTTTTCAATGTTTTTCAGAGTTTTTCAGTGTTTTTCAAGGTTTTTCAATGTTTTTCAGGGTGTTTCAGGGTTTTTAACCTTCAATTCTGATGAAGGGCCGCCCCCGCGACCTTTTCACAGCCTAGTTTTGGTCAAGGGGGGGTCGTATTTTTCAATTTTAAAGGCAAAATAGTCTTCGGAGACCCCCCTTGCCTCAAACTCCGACCCCCCCTTGAGAGGGAAAGTTTGCCTCCAAAAACACCCCAAATGAGCCAGGATCGGCCCGGGTCCCAGCTAAAAAGCGATTTTTTAGTACTGAAATCGACGGTTCTGGGTGGGCTCTCAAAACCGAGCCTTCACCGGTTTCAGGATTTCAAGTTTTTCAAGGTTCTTCAAGGTTTTTCAGAGTTTTTCAATGTTTTTTTAAGGTTTTTCAATGTTTTTCAGGATGTTTCAGGGCTTGTAACCTTTTGATGAAGGGCCGCCCCCGCGACCTTTTCACAGCCTAGTTTTGGTCAAGGGGGGGTCGTATTTTTCAATTTTAAGGCAAATAGTCTTCGGAGACCCCCCCTTGCCTCAAACTCCGACCCCCCCTTGAGAGGGAAAGTTTGCCTCCAAAAACACCCCAAATGAGGGGGACCCCAGGATCGGCCCGGGTCCCAGTTAAAAATGCGATTTTTTAGTACTGAAATCGACGGTTCTGGGTGGCCTCTCGTTTTCTGGATTTTTGACCAAAACCGAGCCTTCACCGGTTTCAAGATTTCAAAGGTTCGTCAAGGTTTTTCAGATGTTCCCCCTTGAGAGGGAAAGTTTGCCTCCAAACCACCCCAAATGAGGGGCCACCCCCCCACCCCACCCTCCCCGGTTTGAGAATTAGATTTTGGGTTTTCGGCCAATTGGACCTTGAGCTTTAAGCCTACTGGGAATGTATTGAGTGGACTTTGTATTTTCTCAATGTTATGGGTTTCTTGGGTGGGTGGGGTTTTATTCCAGCCCTTGACAAGCTGCTTGACTAGTGAATGCTCGGACTTGAGATGCTGAACCCTAAACCCTACACCCTAAACCCCCAAGAGCTGCACAGCCGCGCAGCGTGGGCTTGCCGGAGGTGGGCACGGAGGCCCCGCGCCAGATCGAACCTCAGAGGGATTAGGGTTTAGGGTTTAGGGTTTAGGGTTTAGGGTTTAGGGTTTAGGGTTTAGGGTTGAGGGTTGAGGGTTGAGGGTTGAGGGTTGAGGGTTGAGGGTTGAGGGTTGAGGGTTGAGGGTTGAGGGTTGAGGGTTTAGGGTTTAGGGTTTAGGGTTAGGGTTTGGGGTTTAGGGTTTAGGGAGGGTTTAGGGTTTAGGGTTCAGGGAGGGTTTAGGGTTTAGGGTTTAGGGGGAACGGGGCTCAAACCCTGAGTGAGGGAGCCTTCGCTGGCTCGCCCCGCAACGTGGGCAGGGCGCGCAGCCTTGCGGATTTCAGGGTTTCGGACTTCAGGGTTTCGGGTTTAGGGTTTCGGGTTTAGGGTTTGGGGTTGAGAGTTTAGGGTTTTCGGTTGAGGGTTGAGGATTTAGGTTAAGGGTTTAGGGGTTCTTGCTGGAGCTTTCGAGGGTTAGGTGCGGGGCTGCAGAGGCTGTTATCAGAAAACCAGCTCCGCGTGAAAAAACCCGCAGCCCTAGACCTAAACCCTCAAACCCTAAACCTAGAGCCCTACACCCGAAACCCTAACCCCTAAACCCTAAACCCTAAACCCTAAACCCTAAACCCTAAACCCTAAACCCCTGAACCCTGAACCCTGAACCAGGAGGAACCACAGCATGCCTCAAGGCTACTTCGTGCGGCTTGGAGCTCTGAAGGGAAACAAGGTGTCGGGCTTAGAGGCCTATTCTACGTAGAATGGCTTTAAGGTTCAGGGCTGTGAAGTTAATACCGAGGAGGAGGAGGAGGAGGAAGGTCTCCTAGAGTGTTCTTGGCCTTTCTGGGGTTTGTGGCTTGATGGTTCAGGAGCCTTCAGATGAAACCATAACAAGGAAATCCTAAATCCTAAACCCTAAACCCGAACCGCCCTAAACCTCTAAGCGTGCATGACCTGGTAGTCCCACCAGGTCGAACTGCTCGTGCTCATACTCCGCGATGCGCCGGACCTCCTGATCGGGTAGCACCGAGATTGCGAGCGGCATCGGTTGTATCTTCTCCATGACAGCAGCGTGGGTCTGGGGCGGCGCTGGCGCTGCCTGGCTCGGCTCTCCAAACTCAAAACCCGAAACCCTGAGCCCCCAAACCATCCCCTAAAACCCCATGAAAATCCCAAACCTAAACCCCAAAAAACCCTAAACCCTAAACCCTAAACCCTAAACCCTAAACCCAGGAGCCTGCGGAGGCCACCACACCACTCCGCCGCGCCGGTGCGGAACTGGGGAAGGTTAGGGGGAAGGGTTTAGGGTTTAGGGTTTAGGGTTTAGGGTTTAGGGTTTGGGGTTTGGGGTTTAGGGTTTAGGGCTTAGGGCTTAGGGCTTAGGGCTTAGGGCTTAGGGCTTAGGGCTTAGGGCTTAGGGCTTAGGGCTTAGGGCTTAGGGCTTAGGGCTTAGGGCTTAGGGTTTAGGGTTTAGGGTTCCAGAGACTCCAAAACCCCTTAAGTAAGGAATATACCTTACATCATGTTAGGGTTCCTGTTACATTTTAAGTTTTGGGGGTTCCTTCGGGGCTTGAAGGGTTCAGGGCTTAAGGTCTAGGGTTTGGAGGGCTTGTAGGGTTTATAGGGTTCGCAGGGTTTCGGGTTTCGCGTTGAGGTTTTAGGCTTTAGGTTTGGGAACCCTAAACCCTAAATCCTAAACCCTAAACCCTAAACCCTAAACCCTAAACCCTAAACCCTAAATCCTAAACCCTAAACCCTACACCCTAGTTAGAGCCTTAGGGCTTCGGGAGTCCTGAGCCCTACACCCCAAACCAAACACTTCTGCCCTCAAACCCTCAGACCTTTTTGTTCATAAACCCTTTCACTAAAACCCTAAACCCTCCAACCCAAACCCTAACCCCTAAAACCCTTAAAAAAACCCTAACCCCCTAAAAACCACACAAACCTGTCAAGCCCAACCCCGAAACCCTTGAATCACCTTATACCCTAAGCCTAAACGCGAAACCCAGAAGCCTAAACCCTAAACCCTAAACCCTAAACCCTAAACCCTAAACCCTAAACCCTAAACCCTGAACCCTGAACCCTGAACCCTGAACCCTGAACCCTGAACCCTGAACCCTGCTTCTGCCTTTGCATGGGCGCGGTGCCAGGCTGCCTGTCGTGCAGCCGCCGGGCGCGACGCGGAGCCGAGGGGCCTGAAAGGATTGTTTCTTTTGCTTTTGTGTTTGTTTTGGGTGTAAGGTCTAGGGTTTAGGGTTTAGGGTTTAGGGTCTAGGGTTTAGGGTCTAGGGTTTAGGGTTTAGGGTTTAGGGTTTAGGGTTTAGGGTTTAGGGTTTAGGGTTTAGGGTTTAGGGTTTAGGGTTTAGGGTTTAGGGTTTAGGGTTTAGGGTTTAGGGTTTAGGGTTTAGGGTTTAGGGTTTAGGGTTTAGGGTTTAGGGTTTAGGGTTTAGGGTTTAGGGTTTAGGGTTTAGGGTTTAGGGTTTAGGGGTTCAGCAGCTCCGGATCGAGCGTTATATTGACGGCTGTGATATAATACCCACGGACCCAGAGAATGCCAGAACATGCAGACGATAGAAAGTACCGAAGGTTACGACTACACAACAATGCGTTCTTAAGCTTCCGCACACAAAGAAGATGATTATTACAAGGGAAAGAGGTGGCCCTGAAAAACCTAAACCCAGGCCTTGGGGCCCTGAAACTAAACCCTAAAAACCCTAAACCCTCAAACAATTTGGGGGGGCCTTGCAGCTGTAAACTCGAAGCCTAAGCCTGAACAGGGTTTAGGATTTAGGGTTTAAGGGTTAAGGGTTAAGGGTTAAGGGTTAAGGGTTTAGGGTTTAGGGTTTAGGGTTTAGGGTTTAGGGTTTAGGGTTTAGGGTTTAGGGTTTAGGGTTTATCGCTGCACGCCAGCCTGAAGGAGGTCCCGAGCGCCCGCTTAAGAGGTCGCCGACCTGGCACAGGGGCAAAGGGGGGGGGGGGGGGGGCGCAGGTTGGGTTTAGGTTTAGGGTTTAGGGTTTAGGGTTTAGGGTTTAGGGTTTAGGGTTTAGGGTTTAGGGTTTAGGGTTTAGGGTTTAGGGTTTAGGGTTTAGGGTTTAGGTTTTAGGACTTAGGGTTTAGGGTGTAGGGTCTAGGGTCTAGGGTTTAGGGTCTAGGGTTTAGGGTTTAGGGTTTAGGGTTAGGGTTCAGGATTTCGAGGGTGTTGGGGTTGAGACTTGAGGGTTTTGGGTTTGGTGTGCGCTTTTTGGTGTCTTGGGTTTGGGGGGTTTGGGTTTGGGGGGGAGCGGGTGGGGGTTGAATGTTTGGGGTCTAGGGTCCGGGACTAGGGGGTTGCGGTGTTCCCTACTTGGGGTTAGACCCGGGGGAAAAAAAAAGCAGATATCTTCTAGGGAGAAGCAGCTATAACAGGAACCCTGAACCAAAAAAAAAGTATTAAAGCACAGTGGGGCTTTTGGATTGGTTTTGTGAGGCGAGGATTTGGACTGTCGGGGTTGGGAGTTGGGCGGCCGGTTGCCAAGAGCCGCGTTGACATTCTATAGGGGCCTTAACGATTAGAATAGGGCTTTGGGGGCTATTCTAGTATAATTATACAGGGACCATAAAGGACGACTATGAACAACCCTGAGCCCTAAACCCTAGACCCTAAACCCTACACCTTGAACCCTGCTTCTGCCTTAAACCCTAAACCCTAAGACCTAATATAGGGGCCTGAACCATTGGAATGGGATTTTGGGGGGTCTTATGGTATAATACAAAGGGACCACAAGGGAATACTATTAGCAATTATTCCGAAACTTATACTCAGTCATCACGGTGGTCTTGACAAGCTCGCAAGCCAAGAGATTAAGCTGTAGCGACACCCCGCTTCACGCTGCTCAGGCCCATCCTTGCAGACCACCTGCCTCACTGTTTCTTTGCAACCCTAAACCCTAAACCCTAAACCCTAAACCTTAAACCCTAAATCTCAGAGACCTTGTCATCTGAGTGGTGCAGCCAAAGCCTTGTGCTTGTTGACTGTGACTGTTATGTCAACCCTGAACCCTAAACCCTAGACCCTAAAGCCCAAACCATAAACCCTTAACCCCGAACCCGAACATAGGGTCTCCAGGTCTCTTGAGAACCCTGAGGTTGACGAGTCCTGGCTCACCAGTATCCTTGAAAAACCCTAAACCCTAAACTCTACACCCGCAATCCAAAACCTGCCAGCCTTAAGGAGAAACAAGGTTCTAAGCCATGGTAATCCTGAAACCCTAAACTCTAAACCTTGAACCTAAACAAAAACTAGCTACACGCTAAGCACTAAGTCCTGAACTCTAAATCATACCCCTGCAACCATGAACTCCAAACCTTAAACCTGAAACCCTACATGCTAAACACTAAACCCCAAACTTGATATCATCACCCTGAACCCACCCTACACGGTAGAAACCAAATCCAAAACTCCAGATCAAACACCCTGAACCCTTAAACTCTAAATCTTAAACTTCAAGCCCAACACACTAAACGCGCAACCCTAAACTCCAGAACGTAACCCTGAAGCCCAAAACTCTAAACCTTAGCCCTCAACCCCTACACGCTAAATACGCATTCCTAAACTCTAAATCCGAACCCTGAAGCCTTAAACTCTAAACCTTAAACCTGAAACCCTACACGTTAAACACTAAATCCAAAGCTCTAAATCCTAGCCCTGAACCTTAAAACTCTAAGCTTTAAACCTCAACCCCTACACACAAAACACTGAATCCTGAGGCCCTGAACTCTAAACCTCAAATTTCAAACCCAACACGCTAAACACTCATTCCTAAACTCCAAATCTTAACTCGGAAAGCCTAAGCTCTAAACCTTAAACCTGAAACCCTGCACACTAAAGACTGAATCTTATACAACCCCCAAACCCTAAACATGAACATAAAACCTAAAACCCTATACGACTAAACCCTAAACTCCAAACCATCACCCTGAAACCTTAAACCTAAAACCTTAAACCTAAAACCCTACACACGAAGCACTGAATCCTAACCGTAAACCCTAAACCCTAAACCTTTTCCTGACACCCCAGAACAATTTATGGCATCGACTTCGGGCCGAATGAACGAAAGCTGGCTCGGGGTTTAGGGTTTAGGGTTTAGGGTTTAGGGTTTAGGGTTTAGGGTTTAGGGTTTAGGGTTTAGGGTTTAGGGTTTAGGGTTTAGGGTTTAGGGTTTAGGGTTTAGGGTTTAGGGTTTAGGGTTTAGGGTGTAGGGTTTAGGGTTTAGGGTTTAGGGTTTAGGGTTTAGGGTTTAGGGTTTAGGGTTTAGGGTTTAGGGGTGGGAGGCCTTGACATCTGCCTTGGAGGCTGGGAAGGGCCACGGGCTTCCTTCGTGGTCGAAGAACCTGCGGGGGCTCGTCTGTAGGGTTTAGGGTTTAGGGTTTAGGGTTTAGGGTTTAGGGTTTAGGGTTTAGGGTTTAGGGCTTAGGGTTTAGGGTTTAGGGATTAGGGTTTAGGGTTTAGGGTTTAGGGTTTAGGGTGTAGGGTTTAGGGTTTAGGGTTCAGCAGTTCTGAGCGTGAAGAGTCTACTCCAGCCATTCTCTCGGCCAACACCCAGCCGCCCAAAGAATCCCACCACGTCCGAACATATTACCCCTAAACCGTAAGGCCCAAGGCCCAACTAGGCCCTAAACCCTAAAGCCCAAGCGCCAGCAAATCAAGAGGCCCTAAACCCTAAAGCCCAAGCCCCAGTAGCCCTTAAATCCTAAAGCCTAAGGCCAGTGGCCCCTAAACCAGCTGCGCCCCTAAACCCTGAGCCCAAGCTCCGGTGGCCCCTAAACCCTAAAGCCCAAGGCCCACCAGGCCCTAAACCCTGAAGCCCAAGCCCCAGTAGCCCCGAACTCCTAAAGCCTGAAGCCCAAGGCCCACTAGGCCCTAAATCAGGGTTTAGGGTTTAGGGTTTAGGGTTTAGGGTTTAGGGTTTAGGGTTTAGGGTTTAGGGTTTAGGGTTTAGGGTTTAGGGTTTAGGGCTAAACCCCAAGCCCCAGTAACCCCGAAATCCTAAAGCCCAAGGCCCGTGACCATTTCACGGTAAGACTGTAGGGTTTTAAATCCTATACGGAAAAGAGGGTTTTTTGGGTTTAGGGTTTGGGGTTTAGGGTTTAGGGTTTCGGGACTAGGATTTAGGGTTTTGGGTATAAAGCTTAGGGCCTAGGATCTAGGGTTTAGGGGCTGGGATTTAGGGTTTAGGGTTTCCGCAAGGGGTTTATGAGGGAAACCCCCCCCAGAAGGGATGTGGGAGATAAAGATCGCCCAGACCGCTGGCGCAAGCCCACAGCCTTGTCGGACTCCTTGGGAGGTATCAATTTGGGTTGACTGGCCTCGATGTAGGAAGCACATCTGTGCATGATGGTGGACATACAGGATCAGGCTGATGAGTCCAGGGTCCACCTCAGCAAACAGCGCATCATAGAGGACAGAGCGAGGCAGTCGATCGAAAGCCTTGGTGAGGTCCAGCGACAACGTAAGTCCGCCGCTGATGGGCTCGGTTTTATGGCCCTGCCGAGTTAGCCGGATATTAGTGGCATTGGCCCTGTTATCATCCCTGCATCGTGCGCAGTGGGACACCGCCCTGTCAATGGCATCATGTACATCCCTGGATGGTATGTACGCAAGGTGCTCTAAGGTGGCAGCGAGGCGGAGATACGGCTTGGACTGCTGGGCATTCTAGGTTCCAGGTTTAGGGTTTCGGTGTGAGGGTTTAGGGTTTAGGGCTCCGGTCCCTTCCAAGATGCTTTTAGTGAGGGAAGGCGGTGGGAGTGTACGGGGAGGCTGGACTCAAAAAAAGGTCTTGTAACAGAGAAAAGTGGTCCTGATCAAATGGCTGTTTCGGGGCGTATCGAGCTCCAAACCCTAAACCCTAAACCCTAAACCCGAAACCCTGAAGGGCTCAGGCTTTGGGTGGCCTCCAGTCGAAGACCAGGTCGGATTCCTCACCCGTCTCGCTGCGGAGCTTCACGAACCTTGGGAATTGGGTTTAGGGTTTAGGGTTTAGGGTTTAGGGTTTAGGGTTTCGGGTTTGGGGTTTGGGGTTTAGGGTTTAGGGGTTAGGGTTTGGGGTTTAGAGTTTAGGGTTTAGGGTTTAGGGTTTGGGGTTTAGGGTTTAGGGTTTAGGGTTTGGGGTTTGGGGTTTAGGGTTTAGGGTTTAGGGTTTGGGGTTTAGGGTCTAGACCCTAAACCCTAAACCCTAAACCCTAAACCCCAAACCCTAAACCCTAAACCCTTTCAGGGCTCGCGAGAGGCCAAGCCACACGAGGCGCCCATGATGTCGAACCTGGCAGCCCGCGGGAAAGACCCCACGGAGGCCCTTAAACACCCTCTTCGGGTTTAGGGTTTAGGGCTTAGGGCTTAGGGTTTGGGCCTTAGGGTTTAGAGTTTGGGGTTTAGGGTTAGGGGTTTGGGTTCAGGGTTTGGCATTTGGGGTTTGGGGTTTGGGGTTTGGGGAGATCCTCTTTGTGAGGCTTCGGCGACGGGGTGGTGTAGGTTTAAGTTTTAGGGCCTAAAACTTCATCCTAAACCCTAGGCTCAACACTTTTCAATCCCGAACCCACAACCACAAACCGGGAAGTTTCTATATACTGCAGAGACCCTGAAAGCTAACTTATTACTAGCCCATGAACCCTAAACATCTGAGGATCGAAGACTAAAGTAAATCACAAAGCACAATCTTGGCTTCAGCACACAATAAACCCTGAACCGCAAAACCCCAAACCCCAAACCCCAAACCCCAAACCCGAATCCCTAAACCCTAAACCCTAAACCCTAAACCCTAAACCCCAAACCCTAAACCCTAAACCCTAAACCCTAAACCCCAAACCCTAAACCCTAAACCAGATCAACTCCCACATGGCACCTGGCCTTCGCTACCATGCCCTCAAAGTCGGCATCGGCCACGTCGTCTGGTCCTGTCACACTGGGGATTGTTGGGTTTAGGGTTTAGGGTTTAGGGTTTAGGGTTTAGGGTTTAGGGTTTAGGGTTTAGGGTTTAGGGTTTAGGGTTTAGGGTTTAGGGTTTAGGGTTTAGGGTTTAGGGTTTAGGGTTGATGGTTTAGGGTTTAGGGTTTAGGGTTTAGGGTTTAGGGTTTAGGGTTTAGGGTTTAGGGTTTAGGGTTTAGGGTTTAGGGTTTAGGGTTTAGGGTTTAGGGTTTAGGGTTTAGGGTTTAGGGTTTAGGGTTTAGGGTCTAGTGTTTTGGGGGTTAGGGTTGAGGGTTTAGGGTTCCAGGGTTTTTTGGGGTTTTCTAGGGTTTGTTTAGGGTTTTTGGCGGCTTTTTTAGGGTTTTCTGGGTTTTTTGGGCTGTTTTGGGCATTCAGGGTTTTGAGGGTTTCAGGCGTTTAGGGTTTAAGGTTTTTAGGGTTCCGGGTGTAGGGTTTATGGTTTAGGGTTTGGGGGGTTCATGGTGTCCAGGAGTTTAAGGGCTTGTGGGTGTAGTTTAAACGGTTTATGGTTTTGTTGTGTTTGGACGTACGGGACGGACGTGCGGCTGGCGTGCTTCTGTCCTTTCACCCTACACCTTAACTCAGAACCCGAAGCCATCCAAACCCGAAGCCATCCAAGCCGTATAAGGGGGGTGGGGTCCTATGTCGCTTGGAGGTTCTTAAAGTTTTGCCCTTGATCCATTTATCAACATCTTTGGGCACGGCTCTAAACCCTAAACCCCCAACCGTAAACCCTTTTAACCCTAAACCCTAAAACCTTAAAACCCCAAAACCCTAAAACGATAAAACCCTAAAACCCTCAAACCTTAAAGCCCTAAAACCCTACAACCCTAAACCCTGAACCCTAAACCCTTTAACCCTAACACCCTAAACCCTAAAACACTTAAACCCTAAACCCTTACGCCCCGAAACCACCTAAGCCCTCAAGCCCTTAAAGGGTTAGGGTTGAAGGGTGGAGGGTCTAGGGCCTGAGGGTTTGGATTTAGTCTTAGGGTTTAGGGCCTGAGGGTTCGGGGTTTCGGGTTGAGGGTTTAAGGTTGAGGGTTTAGGCTTTAGGGTTTAGGCTTTAGGGTTTAGGGTTTAGGGTTTAGGGTTTAGGGTTCAGGGTTCAGGATTTAGGATTTAGGGTTTAGGGTTTAGGGTTTAGGGTTTAGGGTTTAGGGTTTAGGGTTTAGGGCTGAGGGAGGGAGGGAGGGAGGGAGGGAGGGAGGAGTAGAGCGCGCTCCTTCGTTCTCCTGTGCGGCATCGGCCGGAGGCTGGCACATGAGCCGAAGTCAGTCTTGATAGCTTGTGGTTTAGGGCTTAGGGTTTAGGGTTTAGGGTTTAGGGTTTAGGGTTTAGGGTTTAGGGTTTAGGGTTTAGGGTTTAGGGTTTAGGGTTTAGGGTTTAGGGTTTGGGGCTTAGGGTTTAGGGTTTAGGGTTAGGGGTTTGGGGTTGTTGAGGGATTGGGGTTTCGGGTTTGGGTTTGGGGTTGTGTTGAGAATTTGAAGGTGGGTCGGCATGTCGTCTGCAGGCTCTCCATCCGAACTACCCTGCGCTCCCGCTCGCGCTCTCTCTCACTCTCACTCACTCACTCACTCACTCACTCTCTCTCTCTCTCTCTTTTCTGGAGCTTTGTTGATGCAACGCACTGGTTCATTCGAAGGGTGATGCAAAGGCTATCTATGAGCTCCAGTTCTCCCTCTCTCTCTCTCTCTCTGTCTCTCTCTGTCTCTCTCTCTGTCTCTCTCTGTCTCTCTCTGTCTCTCTCTGTCTCTCTCTGTCTCTCTCTGTCTCTCTCTGTCTCTCTGTGTCTCTCTCTGTCTCTCTCTGTCTCTCTGTGTCTCTCTCTGTCTCTCTCAGTCTCTCTCACTCTCTGGTTTAGGGTTTAGGGTTTAGGGTTTAGGGTTTAGGGTTTAGGGTTTAGGGTTTAGGGTTTAGGGTTTGGGGTTCAGGGTTCAGGGTTCAGGGTTTAGGGTTTAGGGTTTAGGGTTTAGGGTTTAGGGTTTAGGGGTTAGGGTTTAGGGTTTAGGGTTTAGGGTTTAGGTTTTAGGGTTTAGGGTTTAGGGTTTAGGGTTTAGGGTTTAGGGTTTAGGGTCTGGAATCTGCCTTCCTCTGCTAACTTCGATGCAATGCTTGGACCAATGCAGCCGGCGTCAGAGAGGCGGGGTGAAGGCTCTCGGGTCCCTGGAACCCTGAGGCCCTGAAGCCCTAAACCCTGCAACTCTATGTGCCCTAAACCCTAAACCCTAAACCCTAAACCCTAAACCCTAAACCCTAAACCCTAAACCCTAAACCCTAAACCCTAAACCCTAAACCCTAAACTTGGGATGTTCCCCCTTATACTAACAGTCCTTAGTAAGGATTACAATAGGGCGTTTCCATAATCCCTAGTGAGGACCGCTAGTATAAGTGGGAACACCCCGGCCTTCAACCCCAAACCCCCTCAAGCCCTCAAGCCCCTAAAGCCAGAACAAATCCTGAAACCCTAAACCCTAAACCCTATATAAACCCTAAACCCCAGGCCCCCGAACCCCTAAAGCCTAGGGAGAAAATCCCCGAACTTCCTGGGAGGCACACCCTTCAAACCCTAAAGGCTAAAGGGTTTAGGGTTTAGGGTCTAGGGTTTAGGGTTTAGGGTTTAGGGTTTAGGGTTTAGGGTTTAGGGTTTAGGGTTTAGGGTTTAGGGTTTAGGGTTTAGGGTTTAGGGTTTAGGGTTCAGGGTTTAGGGCTTAGGGAACGCGAAAAACACGCAAACTGACCCCAAAAGATGGCCATGCACGGGAAGCCTTGGCCCTGCAAATCGATGCATCCAGAAGCCTCTCGCAACGAAGTACTGGCCGTCGGCCTAAACCCTGATTTAACTCTAACCCCAAACTCCCAAAACCCCCAACCCCTAAACCCAAACAGCACCCGCAAAACTCCACACACCAAACTACATCCCCAAACCCTAAAACCACAAACCCGGAACACTAGACTCGCCACCACCGCCACCACGACCCCCCCCCCCCCCGGCTCCGCTCTAAACCCTAAACCCTAAACCCTGAACCCTGAACCCTGAACCCTCAACCCTAAACCCTAAACCCCCTAAACCCTGAACCCTAAACCCCCTAAACCCTGAACCCTAAACCCTAAACCCTGCACACAGCAACTCCCAAGGGCCCCAATAGCCCTCGAGATCCCGGACGGACCGGCTCATCGATCAATTCAGCCTCGGGGGTCAGAGGTTTGAGGGTTTTTGGGTTTGGGGCTTTGGGGCTTTGGGGCTTTGGGGCTTCCCCTAAACCCTAAACCCTAAACCCTAAACCCTAAACCCTAAACCCTAAACCCTAAACCCTGAACTTTAGACTAGGGTGCGAAGCTTGTTGGGGTTTAGGGTTTAGGGTTTAGGGTCTAGGGTTTAGGGTTTAGGGCTTGCGGTTTAGGGTTTCGGCGTTTAAGGTTTAGGGTATGGGGTTTGGGGTTTAGGGTGCTAGGGCTAAGTGTTTACCGCAGGGTTTAGGCTTACTTAAGACCCTAAACCCCGCAATGGCCCTAGTGTGGCCGGACTGGGGAAGGGAAGGCTGAATCTGTCTGTGAGTTTTTAACGGAGCCCTTCCGCACCCGTGTAGAGGCATATGAAGTACTTGGAGGTTCACTGTACTTGTTATCCAATTATAACTGTACTTCTGACTGCGCGTAGCACCATATTAGGGCACTCAAGATGAACCTCCAAGTAGGGCTTATTTCCTTGTCTCCCCAAAAGGATACCCAATATATATATATATATATATACATATACATATACACTCACCAATATTCAAAAGGAACCCTCACTCCCCAATAAACGTATTATGAACCTTGTTACACATAGGCACACACAAGGTTAAACCCTACTTTAAGAACCCTGGGTTCTTAAAGCCGGGTTTAGGGTTTAAAGTTCAGGGTTTAGAATCTTCAGGGTTCCGGCGTCACCCCTCCGCCCCCCCCCCTGCCGCCGAAACCCCCAGTCACCGAGGCTACGGCCGAGATCTCGATGGCCTCGAGTGCTGCGTTCACGGCCGCCAGGTTGTACATTTCGATCTCGGCAGGTGGACTGGGGTTTTTTGGGCGAAGCCTCGCGCTACACCCCAAACTCCCACAGGAAGAAACCTAAGCCCCACGTTGACAATCCTCAGCCCTACATTGAGACTCCTACGACCGAAGCCCTATCTTGAGAATCCTGAGCCCCCGTGACAGGCCCTAAACTTCAAAGTCAGGCTTTGGTGTACGTAGACCTAGAACCCTGAAACAAAAAACCCTAAACCCTAAACCCTAAACCCTAAAGCCTAAACCCTAAACCTCTAGACCCAAAACACCTCTACAACCCCTAAACCCTAAACCCCTAAACCACAACCTCCTGAAACTGGCAGACGGTCACCCTTCCCCTTGTGTACGACTCAGGGTTTAGGGTTTAGGGTTTAGGGCTTAGGGCTTAGGGTTTAGGGTTTAGGGCTTAGGGCTTAGGTTTAGGGTTTAGGGTTTCGGGTTTAGGGGTTAGGGTTTAGGATTTAGGGTTTAGGGTTTGGGGTTTAGGAAGCCCCTAGATCCCTCCGTTCCTTCAGAAACCTTAACAAAAACGAGGCCATCGCTGACGTATGTTACAACCTTAGGATTTAGGGTTTCGGGTTTAGGGTTTAGGGTTTAGGGTTTATTGTTTAGGGCTACGAGCCCTAGGCCCCCTGGCCTAAACCCTAAACCCTACACCCCGAATTAAACCCTAAACCCTAAACCCCTACACCCCTAAACCCCTAAACCCCTAAAACCCTAAACCCCTAAAACCCCTAAACCCCTAAACCCCTAAACCCCTAAACCCCTAAACCCCTAAACCCTGAATTCAACCCTCAACCCCTAAACCGCAAACCCTGAGCCCTGGAGCCTTCTTCGGGGCGTTGAAGACCGCCAGCACCTGTCGGAGGTGACCGTGGAAAGTCTCCAACTTCAACGGCTGGGTTTCCTAGGGTTTAGGGTTTAGGGTTTAGGGGTTTAGGGGTTTAGGGGTTTAGGGGTTTAGGGGTTTAGGGGTTTAGGGGTTTAGGGGTTTAGGGGTTTAGGGGTTTCGGGGTTTCGGGGTTTAGGGGTTTAGGGGTTTAGGGGTTTAGGGGTTTAGGGGTGTAGGGGTTTAGGGGTTTAGGGGTTTAGGGGTTTAGGGGTTTAGGGGTTTAGGGGTTTAGGGGGTTAGGGGTTTAGGGGTTTAGGGGTTTAGGGGTTTAGGGGTTTAGGGGTTTAGGGGTTTAGGGGTTTAGGGGTTTAGGGGTTTAGGGGTTTAGGGTTGAGGGTTTAGGGTTTAGGGATATGAAGTGGGGTTTATATTTCTTGTACCCCTGGAGTCTCCGAAGAGCTGTCCGAGCAAGAAGCGAAAAACTAAAGCACACCACGAAGCCGCTCCAAGTCCTTCACGAGCATCAAGAGGACCGAGCGCACTTCATTAACACGTGAAACGAGAGCATGCGGAACACATTGTCTCCGATGAAAGTTGATGAGAAACTTCGAAAAGTTTGGACATCTCAATTGGCACGCTATACAGAAACCGTCCCGAGCAGTGACATCAAAAGGGAGAACAAAGTGCTTGCCCTTTTGCCAATGATCAATGAGACATTTCCACCTAGAAAGAACAGCTTTCCACCATTTGGAAAAAGCAGAAGGGGAGCGACAATTATCCTTGCATAATTGAACGACACCGTCATAAGTGAGATTCGTCACCGAATTCACAAGAGACTCAACAATGGCCTCCAGCTTAGGCAGGCCAGAGTCATCCAAAGTGACAGAAACATCAGCAAACTGCAGCCTGTGAAATGACAGCTCAGCCAACGACAAATGACGAAGGCAACGAAGACGAATGGCAGCGAGGATCGCAGAGTCAGATGGGCCAGGACAGGCAGCAGAAGAACATTTGGCCTGACATTGACTCCTATCACGGTCGCAGAAAGCACAACGCCAAACGTCATCAAAAGAAGAAGTAGAAAGCAAGTGGCCAGAAGAATAGGCATCAATACGCTGCAAAAAATCACGCCAGGTGTGGAGCAACGCACAAGCAGTACGAAGCGGACGGCGACCACCAAATGCCTCACGGAGAAGAGGGAGCGGAACGGAAGGAATCACCTCCAAATCAAACTGCCCCAGGCCACCACATTCTTTAACAAGAATTTTACCGTTAACTTGTTTCGTGCCCTCGGCAACAGCAAACACAGTAGGAGCGACCGAGATCCATGGAGCAACAGTAGCCTTGCCATGGATGCGAGAGCGAAAGTTGATGAACAATTCACTC